CGGCGATCCGCAAGAAGCTGGTGGTGGTGGGCGACGGGGCGTGCGGCAAGACGTGCCTGCTGATCGTGTTCAGCAAGGACGAGTTCCCTGAGGTGTACGTGCCCACCGTCTTCGAGAACTACGTGGCCGACATCGAGGTGGACGGCAAGCAGGTGGAGCTGGCGCTGTGGGACACGGCGGGCCAGGAAGACTACGACCGCCTGCGCCCGCTCTCCTACCCGGACACCGACGTGATCCTCATGTGCTTCTCGGTGGACAGCCCGGACTCGCTGGAGAACATCCCGGAGAAGTGGGTGCCCGAGGTGAAGCACTTCTGCCCCAACGTGCCCATCATCCTGGTGGCCAACAAGAAGGACCTGCGCAACGACGAGCACGTCCGCAACGAGCTGGCGCGCATGAAGCAGGAGCCCGTGCGCACCGAGGACGGCCGCGCCATGGCCATCCGCATCCAGGCCTACGACTACCTCGAGTGCTCGGCCAAGACCAAGGAGGGCGTCCGCGAGGTCTTCGAGACGGCCACGCGCGCCGCCCTGCAGAAGCGCTACGGCGCGCAGAGCGGCTGCATCAACTGCTGCAAGGTGCTATAGGGGGGGCGCCCCGCCTGCCCGCCCGGGGACACTGCCCGCCCCACGGACACCGCCGGCGCGGGGAGCTCGCTGCCCGCTCCTCCCTGCGCGCCTGGGTTGGGCTCCTTGATGATGTTTCACATGTGTCTCGATGGGGTTAATTTTAAAGGTTTTTTTTTCTGTTCAAAAGAGAATCTTACTTTGCACAAGGCGGGGGTTTCTGTGCTGCACTTGTCATCTGCATTGGACACTAGCATTGCGAACACTTTTTTTTTGTTTTGGACTCGGTAACCTCATGTTGCTGCCGACTAAACTACAGAGAGAAGAGGAAATAGAACCACTGTAACTTAATTTTTTTTTTCTTTTTTTGAAAAAAAATGAGTGGAAAGGAAACACTGTCTTGCTTTGCGTTTTGTTTTGTTTTGTTTTCCGTGTCTGATGCACAGAATAATTGTTCCTCTCTTTCTTCTTAATGCTAGAGGGCAGTTTTAAAGTGTTTGGGTTTATTTAAAACTTATTTTCACGGGGTAGCTTGTACACCAATGTGAAAATAATCTGTATTTTTTCTCTGATTCAGAGAACAATCCTGTCTAACTCTCTCTGGTCCCCCCCCTCTGCCCTGCCCCACCTTGACAGTGGTACTAAGACTGTTTTGTTTCACTTATGTCTACTGTTGGTTTTCTTTTTCTTTTTTTAATAAAATAAACTGACATGGCAAAAATGAGAGACAGATGATGTTTACATGAAGTTACATAAGCTGTGTATGCAGTTTTTTTTATGTATTAAAAGAGTCTATGCTGAAATGCGTGAGAATCCCGGTGTGGTTTAATGAAGTCTTCCAAGTTTATCACATCTTATAAAATGACTGATTGACAGACCAAGGGTGAGGGCTGAAGCAGGGGCGAAAGACTTCTCTTGCGTGTATAGCAAGGCATTGGTTGTATCTTTGACATCATTTGGGGTAGCAGTCGGTGTGGAAGAGGCGCTATCTTTTTATTAGACCAACTAGATAATTGCAAAAAAAAATGTCTTTTATTTGCAAGCTTTTGAGCTCACATGCCCTTAAGCAAAGGAGAATGCAAAGATTGTACAATTTTCTCCCAGGTAGAAATTTGGGGTAGCTTTTCTAGGCTGCCACCTGTTTCCAAGAGGGAAAGGACGGGCCAGTCTCCTGCTGGACTTTCTCAAATAGGGCCATTCCCCTTTTGGTTTTATTTCCAGAAGGCTTTTCTGAGGTCAGTGAATCTGTGCTCCTTTCTCCTGGGTCCTAATGCATTTGCCGCAGATCTGTGCCAAGAGCAGGGGCAACCTTATGCTCCTTTTTTTGCCCTCCCCCCCTCAAACAGAGAGGGTGACTGGGACTCCTGGGGGAACACCCATGCAGATTTACTTGTGGGAAGCACAAACAATGCTTTCTTCTTGACATAGGAAGTAACCCATGGTAATAAAACATACTTTTCTGTCTTCTCAACTGCAGGATAAGGTTGGTAACAAGTGCTCTTCTGTAATGGATTCAAACAGCAGCTCTGTAGCAATGAGGTGAGAGGTTAAGTATGACTCACTGCTGCATTAACTCTTCCTCTCCTTCAGAGCAGCAGTGCCAGCCCCTCGCTTGCAGCCCAGAAAGGGTGAGCAGACCCTTGCAGCAGAGAAGGGTTGTCATGCAGTGACTGCCCCGGGTCTCTAGGTGCTGGCTTCAATTGCTTTTGTAACCATTTTATTTGAGCTTTTGTTCCTGGGGAGGGATCTTGCTGGGAGATCTTTACGCTCCCAGCAATTGGGCTACTGCTCTGTAATTGGACAGTCTAAAACCATGATCAGTGCTAGTACTGGGGGTTCTGGATGATCCCTTAATTAGGCCTCAGTACCCCTTTGTGCCAGGTACTGTACACACAACATAAAAAGGCGGTCCCTGCCTTAAAGATCCTATAGCTGAAATGACTCTCAGAGCAATGTGTACATCTCCTTTTTGCAAGACCCAGACAAAGCATGGGTTTAGTTAATTTTCTATCGGAAAATGCCTTGACTTGATGGCAGACAAGGTTCTTCAGGTGAATCTGATATCTTTTGTTAGACCAACTTAATAAAAGATATCAGATTCACCCAAAGGCCCTTGCCTGCCTATGTCCTTGGACCAATACCACTACAACCTACCCCCTTGACTTGATGGCATTTTTATTCCTTTCCTTAGCCAGGTGCATGTGTTTCTGCGGGGCGCAGGGGGGAGTGTTCTGACATTGGACATAAACTATAGCTGCATCCACCTTCAGAGAGTATAATGTTCACATTTCATTCACTTGAAGCTTCTCTTTGTGATCAACAACGCACACAATTTCAGTTTGGTACAAAATAGGCTGCATCCATGTGCCCTAATATAAGGTGCATACTTCATTGTCTTGCTCATAAAACAATGATCACAATGATCCTGGGGTTTCAGCAAAACTGCCAGTCAAGAGATACTACTTTGTACTAAGATTTTGGGCCCAGCTTTCTTTTTTTACTAATTTTCTACCCTAGCAGATCTCTCTGACTTCAGCACAGCTACCCCTGATCTCTATGGAAATAAAGTAAGAAAAGAATGCAGCCCTTCACTTACACAGAATAGGAACGTGGGGCGGATTATAAATTATAATTACCAAAACAAGCAAACACATTGCTTCATTCGCAGGCAGCCGGATCATTCTTTCCTTGAAGTCTGTGGGAGTTTTCCCATTATTTTCAGGGGAAGGAGGTTTGGCCCATTTGTTCTACAGATTTAAAATTCAATCAGAACTTACACAAGAATATTAGCATTTAGAGTAATAATAATAAATAAGCACATGCTACTGAATTGTTGCAAGTTAATTTAATTGCCTTTAATGATCCTTCCTGGCAAATACTGGCACTTTTTATCAAAGCAAAATTTTGGCCAGATTTTCCAAAGGTGACTAGAGATTTGTGGGTGCCTTGATTTTTATGTAACTATCAGTAAGTTTAGGAGCCCTATAGAGGTCTGATTATCAGAAGACCAAACCTCTTGAGTTTATACTAGACTTTTGGTTCTCAAGCTGAGAAGTCAATGGGAGGTTTGCATGAACAGCAAGCACAGTTTCAGGCTCCTGTTGACCTCTAAATCCAAAGAACTGTATGGTTTGCGTGTGCCGCAACAGAAGCAGCACAGAGAAGCTCAGTTATTTTTCCCCCCACCCAAACACAGATAGAACAATAACAATTATTAGGATTTCTATAAATATTTCTCCAATTGATGTAATGTGATTATAAAGTGTTTTCACCAACAAGAGCAGAAAATAGAACTGTCTTTGGTGGGAGGTACGTGTTAGTGAGAGTCTCAAGACAGCTCGGGTAGAAATCCACTTTATTTTGTTTTATTTTTTTAATATGTTCATTTTTATCTAGTGCAATAAAATGACAGATTTTTACCCAACTTGGTTGTCGGTATATGTGGGAGGAGAATTTCACCCACAGGCTTTTATTGGCCCTTTTGTTTTTGCAGCAATAACTTATTTTAACTTATTTTACTTTTTCTGTGCAATGAAAAGTTTGTAAATCATGTTTTTCAAGCAGATAAAAGGTTGAATATGGCCTTGCTTTATTCTGAAAGGGAGAAAGAGACCTCCAGGAAATCAACAAAGATTTTCAAAAGCTATAACTTAAGATTTTACTAACTATAATTCAGTCATTGATTTCAGTGCCTGGTCATTGAAGAGAAAATAAAAGATGTAACTTTACAAACTGATTTTCACATTTTAGTGAAACATTATAAACGCCGCAGAATCAAACACCTTTTAGTGCTCATTCTGTAATAGTATTTACATAAAAAGGGGCTGAATAAATCATCTGTCAGTTAACTAAATACCATTGACCTAACGCCAGTGTTTTTCTGATATGCTCTGAGAGCTTTTTAATATGTTCTAGGCTTGAAGATGTTTCTGTTTCAGCTAATAAAAGGAACCCTGTTTCTCATTTTACATAATAACAAGATACTACAGGGTACATCACCACCCTAAAGAGGTAACATTTTCCCTTTAACACCCAATGAAGACTCTTGTACTCTTTGCTGTAGAGAGGAATTCCATTGAAATCAATGTGACTACTCAAGAAAGTTTTCCCATGAATTCATGGTATGTGGGGCTATGCCAGTGTGGTCGGATCTGGTTTTGGAAGCTAAGCAAAAGCCTGGCTAGTAGTAGGATGGGAGATCACCTTGGAATCCCACGACTGGCAGGTGTGAGCCAAGTTGTTGAATGCTCAGCAAGTTCCAATCCATGCAAATCACACAAGTAATGGGAGTTGATGTGGCCCATTGTCACTTTTGCAGTATGAAATCTAAATCTCTACATTCCATGAATATAGATAGTTTAGAGACATCAACAGGGCCAGGATTTGTTTTATGTGGGATGTATTTTTATTACCTTGAATATGACTAAAAGAGCTTGATTCAAAGATCAGTGTGGTTGGTGGGTGTCTTTCCACTGACTTCATTGTGCTCTGGATCAGGTCCCAAATGCAAAAAGTAATAGGCTATGTACATGCTTAGGAAAATGTGAAGGGCACACAAGGGGAAAGGAGTAAGATTATTTTTTTCCAAGTTCTTCATAGCTCATATTAGAAAGAAGGGATTTTCTTTCAAAATCACATCTAATGACAGAGTGGTAAGCCACAGCTTGTGATAAGCAGCAGACAGATATAATGGCTTTCCTGGTGACAGCTAGATAACTACATATGCTATAGGAAGGAAGTCTACTGCTCTGCTTTTACAAGGGCCATTCTTTAAGAGGTTTTGCGGTTAAATTCATGAGATGTATATATGTGCGTGCAATTTATCATTCATGCATAATTCACAAGGAAGTAACCATTTGCTATGAAAAATATCCACCAGAATATCTGTTTCACTTACATGAATGGAATTTCAAACCAGGGATAAAATAGGAAGGGTGGAAAGAGCGGCACTGATGAGTCTGCTGTCTTTACTAATAGAACAGCTGTATAGGTTTGGATATTAGGTTGCCATCATATGTTTAGCTAAGCGCATCTATATCTTGTTATATGTATTCCCCTTGCCTGAATGTGGGATGTAGGAATTGTATACTAAATCTTGGTTCCAAGTGAAGTGGGCTGCATTTAGCTCTCAATGTTTATTCCATTGCTTTTGCACTATACATTCATTCATTCGTTCATTCATGCTGTCTGCTCCTGTTGGTGAAAACACTGCATGTGGCAGTGCTGGGGATGAGAATTTGGAAACAAAGTGGGTTTCTTGGTGGGCTCATTTACATGATAATTCCCACGGTTCTTCTCCAGCTTACAGCACTTTCATAACAGTGCTGGTGACTGCTCTGGGAACTGATTTTAAGCTCTGAGGATACATGGGGGAGCTCTGCAGAAGGGGAATGTTTATGAGACCGGATTGTGGAACAGGCTTTTCCCCTCATTTTAAGCTTTTGTGCTATTTTCGACCTTCAAGGAGATTCAAACTTACAGTTCTTACTTCGGTACAGTTTCCGCTGAAGTCAATGCAGAGGTTGGGCCCAGTAGAAATCAGGCCTTTGGTCAGGGCTTATGCGGGAGCTGAGGGCACTCAGGCTAAGTAGAGACAGCCACAAAGCCTGAGGCTGAATCGATTCAGTCTTTGCAAGTTACAGGCAACCCCCGCTTAGCACTCTTGATCGGTTCCAGAAAAACTGAGCATTAAGCGGAACCGCGCTAAGCAAAACCCATTTCCCCATAGGAATTAATTTAAGTAGAAATTAATTGGTTACTGCCTGCCCCACCACCTCCTCTCCCCACTCCCCTGCCTGCCTTC